CATCTACATATGTCCATTTGGAATGGACACAAATTCCCATCTGACATATGTCTATTCCGAATGGACATAAATTCCAAATGGACATACAACATAGATCGGTAAACAAATTCGGATAGGATTGCGTTAAAGTAGCACGAAGTGGAAAATTATAGTGTATACGCAGAATTCCAAATAAAATCGATATGGCATTCAATATTCGTATTTACTCTGCAGTTGATTACGATAATGGTTCTATCCCTATAGAGGAGGAAGATACTAATTTCCTGTCAGGTTTTGAAGCACGTAATACACAAAATTTTGTATACAAAAATCTAAAACCTTCACTCTAAATTCTTGGCGCCCTTCTCAAAAACTAAACATTATCTAAATTCCGTGCGGTTTTTTTATTATCCAATGCATGTCATGTTGTCATTGTTCAAAATTGTTGACACCTGGTTCCTTTCGATGATAATTTTACCTATGCTTATTGGTATATTTTCCACAAGTCGGTCTGTTTCATCAAATGACTCTCGGGAAATTGCCTACTGTAAAACATGCATTGATACTAGAAAAAGGCGGTTTTCTCCTCAACTGGATCCTATTCCGACAGAGATATCTCGTGTGCCGATGGTTTACCATCCCCAATTCACTTAAGCTGTTCGCTTGGACGTTCGGGAAACTCTAATCAGTTCACGACTATCTCGTAATATGCGAGCCCAATTGGTGACACAATGTTTGCATGTGGGCAAGCTTATGTTGCCTTCAGTCATGCAACATTCTGGTAAAAACTTGATTTGTCTGCATTTGAAGAGAATGAAGTTCATGTAGATCAAGAAGTAATTACAGACTTTGGCCACTATTTATTTAAAGATTTCCACAATAATAAAACTCGAAAGTTATTAAATTTTACTTCCAACTCAAATTACATAGCCACTCTTGATAATATAAAAACCTTTTGTGATATGGGCCCTGATCTATCAAAATGGCAGTTATCGTTATCGCATGGCGATCATTGGAGGGGTTTTTGACAGCAATGACCCCTTGGGGGTTGAATTTCGAAGTCTGGGGTCTGATGCATGGAACGGCCCTTGTATTACTCAACTTCAAACTGTTGTGGAGAAAGGTTTTACTAATGCACTTGAGGTAAAGACTACCAAGATGAGTAGAGGGGACTGCTGAGAACATGTCTATGAAAAATAATAAAATCGTGTAACCATATCGTTAACCGCCATTTTGATAGATCAGGGCCCATACACGTATGTCAATTCCACAAAATTTTCCCAAGTTGTGATGTAAAATGTTGCAATTTAAAAAGATCTTGGTACGTCTACGAAGGGAGAATTTGTGTCGTCTCAGTAGGATGTTAACCAACTATCAGACGCTTTAAATTCTTGTGCAGCATTCGGATAGTGTTCGATGAAATCGTACTGTTGCATAAATCGACGATCCATTCTTTTAAAGCGATCTCCGCTAATGGATGCACCGCTTCTTTACCAGAACCGAATCGTCTACTTCTCATGTTAGCTTTTTTCAGTTCTTCTTTTTTTCTCCATTGCGCTATCTGGGTGTGAGTAACAGCGAACATTCGCCCTGCTGCTTTATTGCCTACACATTTTGCATAATCAATCGCTTCAAGTTTGTTGGCGACAGGGTAACTCCTTCTCGTTTGTTTGTTCATTGTTGCGGAATATAAATTTGTAAGGAATCCATTCAAGTTTTCCACCATATTCATCTTCACTTTTCAAGGAGGATTGAACTAAGTTATCAATTGTTAACAGTCCCTGATGCTAACGACGTAGTTTGAATTTAAAAATTTTTTCAAGTGAACAAATCTCGTTCTCAATTATCTTGAAGTTTGCAAATTTGCTTAAGAGCTTTATTGATAGCACAATAAATGTACAGAACCATGAGTATTTATTACATTCTGCAGTACATAAACTACTACTATAGTAATCATAACAGAGTGACCATCATGTAAGCGGTCGCGAAAAATCATCGCGAGTATCATGCGCGAGTACTTATTGCACGATTAATCATAGCGAGTAAGCTTAACCATAATCATAAACGACAACAAATAATGCGAATTTTATATACGAATTCGAAAATCATATGATATATGCAGCTCGTGATTATGTAATAAACGAAAGCAACGCGGATAATTGTTACGTGACGATTGGGGGGTTAAAAACAATGCAAAATGATCACATCTCATGAATAAGAGCCCCCTTATATGATGAAGGGGGCTTATTCATGAGAGTTTACGGTATATAGGTTACTCGCACCCGAAGGGGGCTTAACGCTAAATCCCTTGAATTTATATGGAAGTATTTTATTGTATAAAAAAATCCGTTACGGCAGATGAATCAGATAAGTAGGTCACATGGTAAAATCTCCTCCGCAGTCATGCAGATCCCATGATCAACATTTAATTTTATCATTTCGCATTTCGGGCATCAGTACTAGAATTTATTGGTTCTTTAAAAAGGTTCTGTGATGATACCTTCTGTTTCGCATTTTGGGCATCGCTAGTTATATAAGCGGTCCTCATCCCATCGTCAAATTCTCATGTATATTTCCCACTCCGCGGAAATAAACGATTCCCTTTGAGATCGAAATTTTACTTTCTTTCATTGTTAAAATATTAATTAATTGACCGGACACTAATAAACGGCTCCTTCAAGGTCATTTAATCTGTGTAAATTATCCGTTGATCTAGTACTCTTAATTGAGGAACGAGAGTTAGTAATAATTTAAAACGAATATTAATATTGTTTAATTAGTTTGAGACAAGTGACAGAACCCGACTAGTCCCGTTTAAATTATTAAATAGAATTTTATTCCCCTTTGATTCCGCAGTAGAATAATTGCTGTTGTTATTTATTGTGGGTACCCTTATTGGAATCACGAGTGATTTGAAGCTCGGATAGGGAGTGAAGAAATTATTAATTTAGATCACTTGTAGATTAATATTCAGTCTTAATTGAACAACTACCGTAGTAATGGCAGTAGCAAGAAGCTAACTGGTAATAACTCCCGGTCAGAAGAACACCCCTACGCGAAAGATAATCGCTCTCCCAAATGACCATAACACTACTTTCCTGAAAAAAATTTTTTGTCTTTAAACATAGATTAACTCACATAGAAACGTAGTAAAATTATTGTTTAATAATAATCTTTACACATATAACAGCAATGTTGTACTTTATCAAATGCTGGGCGGGTGAATACTAATGGGAGAGAGGGAAGAAGAGTTACGTAAACCCCATATATGAGAAGTTATGGGGCTATATCGTCGGATTTACAATATGCCTTATCTTTACCGTCAAATGCAACTTTATGAGCTTGTAACCGTTTAAAATCCAAACACTTTTGCAGTATAAATATCTTTATTATAACATTTCTTACCTCATACAAAAGTTGCGTATTTTATTACCAAAGCAGACTGAAGCTGAGAACAAAGCAAGTCTTGATGTATTGGGTTTGCTTTCGAGTTTGTTGCGTTCAAGAGCTCGATGCGTTGGACTAATCTTTTTGAGTTCGATTTGTTGGACCCGCTGTGCGCTCAGATATAGGCTCACAGAATTTTATATAGACCAGCGATTAACTCTCATACAACATTTGGAACTTGTGCAAAGTGTTGAGGACGGTAGTAGTTAAGAATAAGGGCTTATGGAACCAAGAGTTTTTTGAAAAGTTTCCGTACGTTAAATTGACTGTTGCAAAAGTAAAGAACCCATAAGATTGACAAATGAAACTACGTGATTGACTTTAGGTTCAAAATTGAATATTTCCCAATTGAATAATCGTTTAATCAATCAACAATCGAAATGGGCTACTAAACAACCGAACACGTTAATTGAATAATTGAATAATCCGGGTTTTATCGAACATCCGAAGATAAAATTTTCTCTTTCAATGCCATACTCCCATAAGAGAGACTCAGATGCAACGAGTATTGACAGCGACAGTTTACCTACTACTTGATACTCTCTACATACTAGTCAGCTTCATAAAACCTCGACCGTAAGACTGAATCGAGTATAAGTAATGACATGATTAATTCTAATACATTTACTAGCATACCGGAGGTTATATCATACGCGCAGGCGTTTAGTGATTGTTTGGCGCGCCCACGTTATTAACTATGGATATCGCATACAAAATAGTCGAATGTGAGTTTCGAGAAGAATGATACATTAGAAATAGTTGGCAGCCTATGATATTTACTATGTGTATCGGCGTGCTTACGCTTTTTGTAGTCTTCTGACATTAATATATGGTTATCTTTTTATTTCACGCAGGATGCAGTACAAAAGTTGGCACTTTGTTTCTATTTTTAAACAGTGGATTATTACAACTAAATCAATACATCATGATATAAACAGTGATTAGTATCCCTGATAAGATGCAAGCATAGAAAGTAAGCTCTGTATTAAAGTAACAAGCAGTAACTTGTATTCATGTTTTACAATGTTTTAATGTTTAAAGTTTTTGTTATCAATTGTATTAAGTGAGTAATTATATTGTCATCAATGAGGTCATTTTCAACGAAAAATATTATAATAACAAAACATGCCATCGATCTCGTCTTTGAACGTATTGGTTTTCGGCGCAAGCTCGAGTAATTTGAGGAGTTTCATTTTCACACTTTCTATTCAGAAAAAACAACTATGTGAATAACATTTTTACATATCAAGTTACAAGAACAAGTAACCAATTAGGCTTTTCGCCCGACTCTTCGTCATCAATTAAGTTTCAAATCTATTCAGCCAGACTCGATATTTCTTACGCGATACCTATCTACAAAAAGCATGCTTTTACAACATGACAACAACCAGTTTTCCATATTTAACATGAGAATTTTTAAACCCGTCATACACGAAATTAAATTTATAAGTCAAATTTATCTTGTAGCGTTACAAACTTTAATAATTAGGTAGTAATAGAGAGGAAATTGATTTAATACATTTTATAATTTCTACCTCCGAACAAACTGTTAATAAACAATTAAATGAGTTGTTCTATTCCTCAAAAACATAATCTACTTCTAAAACGTAATCTTTCAAAAAAACTTCAAGTGCAATTTGTCTGTTTTCCATTGTAGTTTGTCTTTCTTCCATTGCAGCTTGTTTCTCTTCTAAAGATAAGACATTCGATCTATTAACTGTTTCTGGCGGCAGCGTCACATCTTCTTTCTCTGGGATTCCTTCATTGGTTTCTGTATTCGCACCGGCTTTGTGGACTAACGAACCTTTGAATAGACCGGCTTCTGCTAGCACAGCAAGTTCTTTCCTGACATCCCTTTTGACGGGAGGTATTATTTGGTACAATCCCCAAGGCGCTCCCACTCTGTCAGCGCCTGTTTTGGTAGAGTAACAAAATAATTGTGATTTTAGCGCAAACGAATACATGTGCACTATATGGCAAAAACATAGGATAAATGCTTACATACCAAATAGTATTATATAGAATGTCATTGCCGTACCATATATACCACCTACCGCACTTAATACGTCGAGCACTGACGAGTCACTGGCAATTAAACAGAGTCAGATATTGTAAGCTATTGAATAATAATTGTATTCAATTACATCAAGTAATATCAGACTTTGACGTATACTTACGAATTTTCAGTTTCCGTTATAACTAGATAAGACGTGGGGTGGACAGTGACAGTCGCATAAGTTGTGATGTCGGAAGTAATAAGCGGAACCGGAGCTGCAAGTTTTTTTTGTCAGTTAATTTTTACTTTGTTCTTTATTACAATAGTTGCATAGCTTTTACATACCGATTCTGGTCGCCAGCAGGTTTATATCAACGTAAGTAGCCTGTCCAACAATGAGATTCCGTGCATCTGGAAGGAGGACCTTACGGAGAGAGCGCTCCATGCCGATATCGGAGCTCTAAAGGAAATTATCATTCGTTAATATATTATCGTAGCGAATTCAATTAATTGTTCATAAGATTTATACGAAAACCATACTAACAAAGCCTTTAGCTATATTGTATAGATTGGCATTAAACAACGTGGCCACATAATCAGACACGACCTTTGGCTGGCCTCCCGGTGATTTGTAAATTGCTTCCGTGTCTGGTATAGTCAATTATTATCGTTTGTTGTTAGTATCAATTACCATCTTTTATGAAAAAACAACTTCACATAATCAATATGATAAATCTTAAGTACCGGAATCAAACATGTTCACTTGTATTCGAGCATCTGAACTGCCAATTGAATAAAACTGATCTCGTATAGTAATATCAAATTCAATGTTACTCAGCGTCCCATTGGTTAAAGTAGTACTAGGGATTCCAAAATTTAATTCTTGTTCGAATCTTGCCACATATCTGCCGGAGTCCGTATTATTTGGACCAAAAGCGGGTAGCTTATTAAAGGTTCCGTCTACAAAAAGTTAAGTTAATAGTGGTAATATTTGTGAAATCGTGCAATTATTGTGGACGTACCCATATATACTATGATGCAAACGACTGTAAAGTTATAATCGGAACTGAATTCTAAAACTAATAAATGTATAACGGTTAGCATTTATATCATTATGTTTACTTACAAATAATAAATTACGTACTAGGCATCGGAATGAAATCAGCTTTGTCCCGAGAAGTGCTTACAGATACTTCGGTGCTTGCCAGCTGAATACATTTCCAGACAAAATAACCAGCTACGCCTAGCATGAAAATTATCTTGGTCCATTTCTTGGGCACTCTAACTGAAACGGGCTCGGCATCAGAAAACCCAGGCCATATAAAGTCTTTGATGAGGGTAAATATCTTCACAAAAGAGTTTCCGATGGCGGTAAAAAAGTTTTTGATGGTGGTAGGCAAAACCATCTTTGTGTTAAGTGAGTTGGGGAACTGAGATTATTAAGGCCGCTTGATTGCAGTATTTATTTATTTATTTATTAAGGTGATTCAATATTTATGCACTCAGAGTTGAATTTATATAATTGGGTATGTAATACTAGAAAGCTGCACGAGTTCATTGATTGTGGGCACAAAAATAGCATCATTTGAAAGGGCTTTTTAATATACTTGATATTCTAATTCTATACAGGCTGTTAACGAAGAGTCACTGCTTTTTTTTATCTGGCATATCAAACCTTTGTTGTACAAATAAACAATGGGCACCTTTTTATCGCCGAATTATAATTTTGTAATTGTCGAAGAAGTGTACTCGATATGCACAGATTGCCTTGGACAGTAACTTGAGCCATTAAGCTTCGCTACAGTAGTTTCTTGACTAATCAACTATTTATTCATCACATAATTACATCAATTGTTTTTATTATAATATGTTTATTAGTAATTATTTTAAATTTGACGCATTTCCCCACTACTCAATATCTATTCGAAAAAACAAATTCAAAACAAATCCACATAATCCACCCTAAACCAAGACTGAAAACATCACCACCCCGTTTAACTCCTCCACTCGCAGGATTCGCTGATGTGTCAGCGTTCGAAATTGGTGCATCAAACGAGAGAGAGACGTTGAAAAAGGTTGTCGTAGTTTTGGGGTTGCTTACACGAAGACACCAGATTTGAGAAACTACAGCTTGCCTACCGCAGCTTGTAACACACTGCTCGTGGCTTTGTGTTTGGGAGATTGAAAAGAGATTAATGAGCAGGTATTAATTATCAAATTTTAAGTGAGCATCGGAGGATGCACATAGTAACATTACTATGTAGAAAAGTCAATAGCTTTGCTTTGTTTTAACCCACTTGCAACTCCCAATTTACTAATCAAATTCTCTCTTCACCCTTATTGTTTACTAACCATGATACTTTATGTGCAAACAACTCGTTGTTTCCTTGGAGGGTCAAATTAAGCTGTGACGTACTCATAGCATAAGCAAGAATACCGGTTGAACAAGGTTCAGTAGGAACACCACTCCCATTTGTGATGGAGCCAAAGTTTGGTGTTAAAGTGAGATTTTGATCTGATGTCGTAACAAGATATCCTAACCGAATAGATATGTGAGCAGTGTGAATTATACTTAAATTTAGATGTGGGTCTTATAATACTCACTTATTGCATCAACTACGCCTGGAGCGCAGAGGTACCTTTTGAGAAAAAATTAAGTTAGATATTATAGAAGATAATTAAATTTATAACACACTACATTTGTTCCTACCATGATTTTTGACCTGGCAGCGAAACATTGCCCGTTTGTACCTGAGCGCTCACTATGGACGCCTACATACACATTTAGAATTAATAATAAATATATGTACATGTAGTATAACATAATTTGGGCATTATTTGCTCACCAACACAAATAAAATAGTACCAACTAATTTCCACATCTTGTTGATTATAATAATAATATCGAGTGTGTTGTTTATTCTTAAATATCTTTTCGAAGCAATATGCAGCGAATATCAAATGTGTGATGTATGTCACACACGTTATTACAGTATAATAAGTGTAGTTGAAGTAAAAAAAATTTTTTAAAAAGGATGAGAAATAGAAAGAGAAATTTCTATATTAAGGCGATTATTTCAAAGAAGTAGTCAGCTATCTATCCACTTATCACTTGATCTATTGTCAATGCAATGTAGATACGCCAACTTATATCGGAGTTGTCGGTAGTTGTTTAGTCATATTGTAAGTTGTACGGAATTTGAAACCCACAAATACGTAATTGGTATTCGCAATACACGCACACAATTTCAATGTATTTTTAGCATACATTATAAGTGCCTATATAAAAAGAAAAATGTCTTAAAAATACACGACATACAAGAGCAACAAATTTAGGTTCATTGAAATCATAACATGAAAAAGAGATTATGCATGTACGTATTAGAAAGAAAGGGTATGCATCGTAATACCCTGTAGAACAACATAATTGAGTTAAATTGCGCCCAGACTTATATAATTCTAGTAGAACAAACGGTTCTATGTATATCGTGATACAACGGTATAAAATGGAATGGTTCCGGGAAAAGCGGGAAAACATCTTCCGATAATGCATCTCCGCGGGATACAACATTCACTGACCAATAGTATGATGAAACTGTATTGCATGATGTGGTTATACAAATCGATACGTCATTTTAATTAAAGTTCAATCAATCATTTCTTTGTTTATGAACTTGCCTGGATAGGAAATTGGTTATTTCTCTATTTGGTACGCTCAATGAGCTTGCTTGGATAGGAAATTGGTTATTTCTCTATTTGGAAGCCTTAGGCAACCCCTTTGTTTTTCTATTGGGTCATACAAACAATGACGTTTGTTAGCCCCGAAGTCTTATTTTCCCACTAGGAACGGGTTATACCATTAACCTTGTAGTCTTTTGCGAAACGCATGCACGGCTCAAATTGATTCACTGTACATATGTAAGTTAGCAAGCCGGCCGATTTGCATAGACCGATTTACCGAACATCACTTTCTAATCCTCATTTGGTTCAATTCCTGGATGCGACGTCAAGTAATGACAGTAAATAAGCTAACAAGAGTGTGATATGAAAAAGATCAGGCGGCTAACCTATCTAGCAGACACATCAAGCCTTTTTTTATTTTTTAATATGCAATCACTCTATCGTCAATCGTTTCACTCAGAATATTGATACACTTTATAATAATAATAAATTTCAAGACCATTTCGAGAATTTATTTGGAGATAGAACAGACAAGTGCTTCTTGGTTACATGCTTAAGGATTCTATGCTTATGTCGTTAACATTCTACATCTAAAGCAAATTATTTCCTGATGCACAACCACAATTGTATTGTTGCGTTCAATGTTTAGCCTCCAATGGAAATTAAATAAAATTCTACCACAGTTGTATCCACTCGGATATATCCACAATCTAATTCTTTCATTACGAGCTTACCTTACCTTAGTTCAGAATAATTGAAAAAATGAGGGATGGTTGGATAGTTGAAATTTTAGTCGAAAGTTGGCTAATGCTATTAAAGATGCAGTTCGGATTTACCGGCTAGGTGGTTCTATTAATGGATGGATATAGTGGGGACACTGTCAGTGTCCATAGGGGCACTAGTGAAGTTGTTATCTTCCATTGTAAACATATGCGCAGTATCGTAAATTAATTCCAATTTCGACTGAAAATATTTATTATATTGCGGACGATAAATTTTCTCGCACAAGTAAGACATGTTAAAATAAAAATCGCTGCAAAAGGCTAACAGCAAAGAATACAGCACGTTTAAAAACCAAACACTAATTAGTTTTATATATAATAATAACCTTTATCAACTAACAGTTGGGAAACATCAATAACTGTCTTCAAGGAGCTAGATTTATGAGTGACTGCGCTGGGGGGGCTCTCTTTCCACTGTTAGCTATAAAGACGCAATTACCAGCTAACTTCTTAACATCAGCCTTTTTCAGCACCTGGACATGACAAATTTTAAATGCGATAATGGTTTTGGAAAAACAAGAGTAGATTATTAGGGTTCATCTGATAGATGTAATGACATGCGTTACAATATCAAGTAATCCTTACCGTACACCACTCTGTTCCAGGTTTTACGAATGGAGTGAGGTCGAATAAAACCTTGTCATCATCGTCATTATCCCCATCATCAACATGATGAACATCGTCGACACATTTTCTGACCTCAACACGGAGACTTTGGCTAAGAACGATAAGGGAAGTCACAAACACCCGGTGGTCGTCACTGTCATTATCCCCATCTGACGGCAATTGTACAAAAGTGAAAGTGGCCTCAAATCCGGTTTTCGCAGTTCTAAACTCAGCTTTTGCTATGATTTTGTCAGGTGTATTTTCATTATTTCGTTCAGCGAGGGCGTTTGTTGCCGGCATAGCATTGACCGAGAAGAAGGATACCAAAAGAAGAAGAGCGATGACGATTTGCTTGTACATTTTGGATTGATTATTGATTATCGTTGCTTGAATCCTATGAATTGATCGTTGCTTGAATCCCAATGCGAATTATGAGAAGAACTGTTCGTTGCCCTGTGGGTTGGTGGAAAAAGCTCGATTGATCCCGTCGTTTTATAGCTGTTTTTCCCCTTCCTTGTTCGACTGCTTCATAACATTCATTCAATTTCTATTTACGTAGAACTTTTTTTAGACAGTGTTATTTTTAGAGAACGTAACATTTAGCTCGCACTAGGTAACCACGAATATTGATTAGTTATCAGACATATCCGGTAGCTGATAATATGTTGTTGCGCATTTTGTTCAACCAGACAATCAAGTTGGCACAAACTTTGATTATACTCAACGTTTGTGTTCCAGAATTTTGATGCAAACATTGTTGTCACCAGCGTCTGTGTTACAACCAAAAAAATATTGTTGCCGTACCACGTCTGAGAATGAAAGCAATATTCTGTAGGAGTCCTGTAGTCTTTATTGTTAAGGTTCACTGGATGTCATACGTCTATTTGGGATTGTTCAATGAAGCATCCGTTTCACAATCGGAAAAACTATTGCGTGATAAGAACTGGATTTTATGAAATACATTTCCACACACATACAAAACGTCTATTTGTCCAAACGCACCTGCGGAAATTCGTTTTCAGGAGAATCGGCACTAAAAGTCAGTCAATAAACGCCCAGAATAAACTAGAAAATTTAGAGATAGTTTGCCACAGAGTTTGCCGTTTGCACGATCTTCGTGCTGCGCTTCGAATCTGCAACTGTCTTTGTGCTTTGTAAACAAATGCAAACACGACCGATTGACAACTCAGTTTATGGAAATATTCTGTTTCCCTATGCAGTCAAGTATTGAAAACCTGATTTGAGATAAGTATCAGTTTCACAAATCAAAAAAAAAAAAAAAAGCGGATAAGGATGCCGAACCGAATGTCATACATTTAATTTTTCCCCCATTATTACTAACACAATATGCAAACGGTCTTTTTTTCCCCTTTAAACTCTAAAAACGTTGAAATTGTGTACACGGAGTTTGCCGTATGCACAATCTTCGTGCTGCGCCAAGCCTGATTTGGGATTTTTCAATAAGTATCTCGTTTCATAATCCGAAAAAGGAAGAAATACATTCAATCATTTGCGTCATTTGTCACTAACAAACGGTTTTTACTTTTTTTCTTTAAAAAGCTGAGAAATGTTGGAATTGCATGAATGGAGTTTGTCATTTACATGATCTTTGTGCAACGCTTCAACAATTCTGTACTGCGTAACATTTTTAAGTATGTTGTTTGTGGCGTTCAATTGCGTCATTTGCCCGACAATTATTGGCCCGATTTATGATAAGGTATTACAAACATGATATTGATTGTTGACCGGAGTCAAGTATTTAAGATTAAACTATGCAATTGTTTTCACAAAGAGACTTAGTGAGTGAATCATATTAGCTAAATTACGTTGAATGCAGGGGAAAAGATCATCAAGATAGGGAGGAGATCAAGTCTTGGCATTGCACGACAGAACAGAATCAACCTCCTCTGTAGCTGCGTTACTATCATATACATTCCTAGAATTTTTACCGCAAAAAAGCATATCGGCAGGCACTCCAAGCGAACCATTGTAGCCGTTATGATATAAACTTATACAAGTTTCACTATACAGTTACATTCAATTTAAGACTTGTTTGTTTATTGTTTGTTTTTTTTTGCCGAACTCCGAAATGATAGACATCATAGACACATCCCAAATTTAATGACGTGATTAATGTAACCATGTCACTGAAAATTAATCATATGCACTGTATGCATGCTTACATATCGTGCGGATCTAGTCTCAGACTGCAGTCTTTTCCGACATCGCCGAAAGCACGCAGTGGAATAATAATTGTAGATTTGACGCATATCTATTAATATCCGATGATAAATGACAAAAATAATAGCTGCACAGAAACAATACTATGTCGATTGTTAACATTCTTATGAATTCTAGTATCCCCAACCCCATTGTCTATCCAATTTCTAAGAACAAGATTTGTTTCAGGGTCAAGCCAATTTCTTTTATCAGTAATAGTATATCGGTAATAGAAAAATTACGTTCACATGGCTTGTACTGATAGACAATTACGGACAATTGAGAAAGTTGGATATCCGATCTGACCCCCCCCAACATTCAAGAATGTTGACTTAATTCTTGATCGACTGGGCATTGTAGTTCGTGGGAAATCGTAAGTCTGTTAAACTTTGTGGCTTGCTTTAACCTGCTTTAACCAGCTTGAACCAGTTTGAACCAGCGTTTCTGCTGAAACAGTTTTATTATTATTATATGTACTGTATTGCCCAATTTTTTTGTCTTTGTCTCTTAATTGATGCGCTTCAAAAAAGAGAAAACTTGTGTCGTGGGCCTATTACCACTGAGATTGATATTGTCAAGTCGATGAGATCTCAAGACTTTTCTGCACAAACGGTATTGTAAAAAGGTAGATTTTCTCATGCCCAAATACAACTCGGCGTGACAGAGCAATAGTTGGGCAGGTTGTACCTAGTAAAATCTGAGTCAATGCTTGCTGACAGGAGAGTATTTAATGGAATTCTAAATAGCAAGCGTTGCATATCGAAAGCGATTGACATGTTTGAGACGAGTAACTTTTTGAGTTATAAGATTTATAAACTTTATTTTATTTTATTTTATTTTTGAGGTTTATGATTTGCAAAAATTTGTCCCGTGCTAATAATTAATATTATTAATGTCAAAATAAAATATTAGATCTATATGAAATCGAAATAATATCTTGGTCTCCGTTTATAATTTTTGCTGTTGGCAAGTATGTATGAATATTGGGTTCTCCGTTACAAGAAAAATTAGTCATCCACGTAGAGTGGTGTTGGAGAGAGGAGGGGGTCAAGATCTGCTTTTAGATTGTCACAACAAGATGCCCGAATTGTCAGTAGTAATTGCCAATGTCTTTGTTTTGAGATCAAAATCTCATAGAGTTGTAAAATAGCAAACGGTCATATTGCTAGCAGCGTGTCTATCTTCGAAAGGCATAATATAATGTCCATCATTAAATGTCGTAATTTCCAGGTTCTATCAATAAATTGAATTGTTTAATCTTTGCTGACATTCCGACATCCACATGTCGGCTGTAAGTAATGACACTTTACCAGAAATTGATTTTAAAAAGCCTTGATGACTCCTTATGAGCTCATCACATAAATATAATAAAAAATTTGATAAGTTGTTGAGAAACGCCAAAATGTGTATTTTTGACTATTCGAAATGGCTGTTGATTCTGAATTATCCACACAACTATATCCTTTTCTAGTTGCTTTTGCATCTGGGGAGAATGTGACCAATTCGATGCACTGCTCACTTGCTACTTTATTCAATGACTTTCAAGATGTGTTCTCTTGAATTGCTGTTATTAAAATGATCACGACAATATTTACAGTCAAGTCTATCAACTTTACAGCCACAAGTGAGCATACAATTATCCATTGTTTTTCGAAATTATTTTCCTTTCGAATTTTATAGCTAGTACTGTTTGTGACTGGTTGTCCTTGGTGTCTTTGATACCAGAAGAAAAGAATTAAGCAAAAGTTTAAAAAAAATTAAGCAAATGAAACTTAATTAGACTGCCTATTTCTAGCAAATTTAAATGAAATTAGTATCCACAATGTAATGTAAGATTTTATGCCACTATTATATACAACACATTATGTATTAAATTCTAGTCAGTTGCTTCATACTAAAATCCCAACCACAATATCATTACTACCATACCATATACGCCAAATTGATGGAAGATATAAACTATACTTTCGAGGAAGGCAAAGAAAATACAAAACCACAAGGACAACCAGTCACAAACAGTACTAGCTATAAAA